ACGCCGTGCGACTAAAACATAAGTTTCTCGTCATGGAAGCATGTTTTAATTTATCATGATCAATTTAATTTTGCAATAACCTATCTAAATCAGCCAACATTCCTTTCGTCGTTAATCATTGAATTTAGTTTCTAGAGATCTGTATAATAACCTAACGAAATGCAAAGTTCTATTCAAGATTTGACAAATTCTTTTGCTTTTACTCAAGACTGGTTTTCGTTAAAAGTTGAGAAATTTCCTGACGGCCTAATATGTAAAAAGAGTTCCCAAAAACCTTCTTTATCTCTCAACATAGGATCTTTAGAAAAATTATCGAATCCACATAAACCTCCACTTGTTCCCGCAACTACACATCCCCTTAATCATCAGATTACATTGTCACCTATAACACCTACATTCTTTAGAAAATTTAACAGTAACGTTTTACATATTACAAAACGAAAAAATGATAGTGAACAGATTATATCCGTTCAAACACAAGATAAAGATATAGATTTAACAAAATGCTATAGCCCATTAGATCTAAGTATAACTGAGGTAATGCGTAGAGAAAAAGATCGAAAAGAACCAGAAAAGAAAAAAGTTATTGTGCATATGATCAAACCTTTTGATACTTTAGCTGGTATTGCCCTGTCTTATGGAATAGAGGTTTGTGAACATTTCTTCATTTAGTACTATTCAAATGAATATTTTCTAATGTTTTTTTTATCGATGTTCAGATATCGATTCTTAAAAGGGTAAACAAATTGTGGACTAACGATTCAATTCACATATACAAATATTTAAATATTCCTTTGGATGATTGTACAATAGTTACAGACAAGGCAGATATTATTGTGCAAGAGGAGAACGCTCTACATTAACAAAAACATATATAGACATAGTATTTTTGGCATTGGAATTAGATTCATTAGCCATTTGTCCCTTTATTTAATGGATGAGGCACTTGCGACTAGGTAACATTGAAAAAAGGAAAATTACAATCATGAACATGTTAGGTGACTTATGATGTATTATTAATATTTTTAATATCTACAATAGCAGTAGAATATACTTTATCTTTTCTACTAAGCGAAATTCCCAAAATTCCGGTCAGAATTCATCGGATATGGGCTAGCAAAATTATCAACTAGCAGTAGGAATAGTAAAGTTCTTAGGTTTAGAGACTTGGTGCCTAGTTTTGAAACAAAGTCATTAAACATCAAGTTCCAATTTTAGAACCTGGGTTCGCATGTTTATAAATTATGTATATTGAGTATAAATAGTATAGATGTATTATAGATAATATACATAATAGAGATATTAATTATAAAACAGATATGAAATTTTAATATGGGGTCAAATGATCGACGCACCCAATTTTATATGTAAAATTTTGCTTTTTAGGCTTATTTAACAACAAAGAAGTTGTCTATTTATTTTTTGGGTATCATTTTGCAAATTCTCTAGCATTTGAAGGTACTTATGAAATTTTAAAGGTGGTTTATAATAAAATTGAGAAGAATCATGATCACGAACGTCTAAAGCAGGGGCAACTCATATTTCTTAATAATTTTCTCAATTAATTTTAGGTTAGGGTCAGGGTCATCTTATATTAAGGTTTTAGGATGTTATATATAAGCAAATTGCCTTCCTGACATTTTTACTTAATTCACCCGAAGTAGGTTTAGACTGCCGTTTTTCTATTTTTTCTATTTTTTGGTTTTGCTTTGGCTTTGCTTCGCCAATGATCATCAAAAATTAAAATTTGATTGGCTGTAATCACATGAAATTGCTCCACTTTAGATATTTCCCACTAGGGTTCGTGGCATGGTAAAAAAATTTGGCATGCCAAATTCTTGTTTTGATGCTATAGGCATGCCATGGCATGTCAGATAGAAGGTCAGTTAAATCAATATATAATCTGATACTAAATTTGGGGAATATATTGGGAGAAGTCAATAGAAATAAGACAAATTTATTAGATAAATTTGTTTCATTTCTATTGACTTCATTCCATATTATTTTAAAATAGTAATTTAAATAGTTATTGTAGTGGCTTATATTAAGATTGGCTTATGCTAAGATTTGGTGTTTTTATTTAAATTTCTAATATCTACTAAAATCTATATATATTTTTTTATTATAAATATTAACATTAATTTTTAACTTAATTATAAAAAAAAAAACTACAAAAAAGAAAATTTTTGTAATTTTGATAATAAAATCTTGTAAGAAAGTTAGTTGTATACTTTTTTTTTGTAGAAGGATTAAATCAAATTTTAATAAAGACAAAGATATAGTCTTACTATTAATATTTAAAAAAATTTTGATAATAAAATAAGTTTTTTTTTTTTTTTTTAAACCTTCGCAATATCGCGAGAAGGCGGATTTTATTAGGTATTTAGATAATACATTCTTG